TACAGTTGCAAGCCATAATGGGAATATGATTAAAGCTAACAATATAAAATAATTACATACATTTTGAGGGGTCAAGCAGAGTGATGTGACAAGTGGAAGTGCATATATGCACTTGTTTTCATCTGCCCAGCCAGTCTGTGTCTTTTGATTGGTGCGTTTAATCCATTACCATTTTCTTAGTTGTTTTGGGTTTATTTTCTGTAGGTCTTTTCTTTCTCTTGTGTTTCCTGTCTAGAGAAGTCCTTTTAGCATTTGTTGTAAAACTGATTTGGTGGTGCTGAATTCTCTTAACTTTTGCTTTCCTGGAAAACTTTTGATTTCTCTATTAAATCTGAATGAGAGTCTTACTGAATAGAGTATTCTTGGTTGTGGTTTCTTGCCTTTCTTTACTTTAAATATATGGTGCCATTCCCTCTGGTTTGTAGATTTTCTTTTGAGAAATCAGCTGGTAACCTGGTGGGTGTTCCCTTGTATGTTGTTTGTCATTTTTCCCTAGTTGCTTTTAATATTTTATCTTTGTCTTTAATTTATGTCAGTTTGATTACTGTTTGTCTCTGTGTGTTCCTTCTTGGGTTTATCCTTCCTGGAACTCTCTGTGCTTCCTGGACTTGGTTGACCATTTCATTTCCCATCTTAGAGAAATTTCCAGCTGTTATCTCTTTAAATATTTTCTCAGGTCCTTTCTTTCTCTCTTTCTTCTCCTTCTGGGACCCCTATAATGTGAATGTTAGTTCATTCAGTGTTGTCCCAGAGGTCTCTTAGGCTGTCTTCATTTTTTTTTTCATTCTTTTTCTATATTCTGTTCTGTGGCAGTGATTTCCACCATTCTGTCCTCCATGTCATTTATTTGTTCTTCTCCCTTAGGTATTCTGCTATTGATTCTTTCTAGTGTATTATTCATTCTGTTTGTTCTTTAGTTCTTGTAGGTCTTTGGTAAATATTTCTTGTATATTCTCCATTGTTTTTCTGAGATCCTGGATCATCTTCACTATCATTGTTATGAATTCTTTCTCTGGAAGATTACCTATATCCACTTCAGTTAGTTGCTTTCCTGGGATTTTATCTTGTCCTATCATCTGGGACGTAACCTGCTTTTTTCATCCTGATTTACTTTCTGTAATGTGGTTTTGTTCTAGCTGCTGTGGGATTGTGGTTCTTTTTGCTTCTTCTTTCTGCCATCTGATGGAGTAGGCTAAGAGGCTTGTGTAAGCATCTTGATGGGAGGGACTGGCCATGGAAAAAACTGGGCCTTGCTCTGGTCAGCAGGGCCTTGCTCAGTAAAACTTTAATCCAATTATCTGCTGATGGGTGGGGTTGCACTACCTCTCGGTTTTTTGGCCTGAGGTTACCCAGCCCTGGAATCTACGCGCTCTGTGGTAAGTTTAATGGTGACCTCTAAGAGGGCTTACATCAAGGGGGGCTTCCAGGATTGTTGCTGCCAGAGCCTCTATCCCTGTGGCAATCCCCTGCCAACCCACACCTCCACATGATACCCTCCAGCACTAGCAAGTAAGTAGTTTTGGTTCAGTCTTCTGTGGGATCACTGCTCATTTGCTCTGTTTCTTGGGCATGCAAAATTTTGTTTGTGTCCTGCAAGACTAGAGTCTCTGTTTTCCCCAGTCTTGTGGAAGTCCTGTAATCAAATGCCGCTGACCTTCAAGGTCAGATTCCATGGGGATTTCCAGTCCCTTTGTCCAGTCCCCAGGCTGGGAAGCCTAACGAGGGGTTCAGAATCTTCACAACAGTGAGAGATCTTTATTATTATTGTTCTCCAGTTTGTGGGTCACCCACCTGGCAGTTATGGGATTTGATTTTATTGTGATTGCTGTGGCTTCCTCTTTGTCATTGGACATGGAATATTTATTTGATGGGTTCTAGTGCTCTCCTGTTGATGGTTATTCAACAGCTAGTTGCAATTTTGGTGCTCTGTCAGGAGATGAGTGCAATTCCTTCTATTCCGCCATCTTGAACCAGAAGCCAGTTCAATGCTTTCTAACAACCCTACATTTTTACTCCACCCATCCACATAGTTAATGTTTTTGATGTCTTTTTTTTTTTTAAACTTCTTTTAAATCTTGTATCCTTTACTTATTGTAATAATTGCTTAGTGTGGAAATAGATGATTTTACTACTTTTGTCTTTAACCTTCCTACTAGATTTATCAGTGACTAACCTATCTTTACTGTGTATTTGTCTTTACCAATGAGATTTTTCCTTCCATAATTTTCATATTTCTAGTTGTAGTCTTCTTTTTTTTTTTTGCTTATGGAAGTCCCTTTAACATTTCCTGTAAAGCCAGTTTAGTGCTGCCAAACCCTTTAACTTTTGCTTGTCTGTAAAACTCTATCTTTTCCTTCAAATCTGAATAATATCTTTGCCAGTATTCTTTGTTGTAGATTTTTCATCACTTCAAATATATTGTGTAACTTCCTTCTGGCCTGCAGGTTTTGCTGAAAAGTCAGCTAGCTAATCACCTTATGTTAGTTTCTGTATACTTAACTGGTTGCTTTCCCCTTGCTGCTTCTAAGACTGTAGCTTTATTTTTTTGCAATTTTAATTATATGTCTTCGAGTGGACCTCGTTGGGGTCATGGTTCTGAGTCGTCGCTGTGATTCATGGCTTTGGATATCTGTTTCATTTCCAAGGTTAAGAAAATTTGGGATATTATTTTTTTAAATAAGTTCCCTTCTACTTTATCTTTCTCTTCTCTGGCACCCCTATATGCAAATGTTAGTATGCTTGATGTTGTTTCAGAGGTCTCTTAAAATATTTTCCTTTTTAAAACTTATTTTTTCCTTTCTCCTTGGGAGATTTCTACTACTCTGTCTTCCAGATGCTCATCCATTACTCTGTATCATCAAATCTACTGTTGAATCCTTCTACTGTATTTTTTATTAACATTGAAGTCATTGTATTTTTCACCTCTGATTTTTATTTATATTTTTAAACTCTTTGAAATTTTGACAATGTTCATTCAGTTTTCTCTCTAGTTCATTGAACCTCTTTTTGACTATTACTAAACTCTTTTCAGGTAGATTGTTTATCTCCACTTTGTTTTTTCTATTTCTGAGGTTGTGTGTTATTTGTTTGGAACATATTTCTCTGTCTCCTCATTTTTCTGTATTCTCTATGTTTATTTTTCTGTATTAAGTCAGTCAGGAGAAGTAGTCATTTCATGGGGTCTGGTAGCACACTCTGATCACCAGAGCTGTGTGCCTTAGGGTCTTCTTATTTTGGCAGCATGTACCCTTCCACTCCTGTGGGTCTGACTACTGTCAATGTGTTGTTAGGCAGAGCTGGCCTCTGGCCCAGTTGGCTGTGAGACTGTGCCATATGCAGTGGCTGTGAGCTTGCTGGAGGAAAAGGTAGGATTCCTGTGTCATTGGCTGTATGTCCCAGGAGGACCTAGGGCTAGGTCCCTGCATGGCTGTCTATGCAGCCTGGGGTGATTTGCAGCTGGTACTAGACCGCAGATGTGTGGGGCATCCTCTCGTGCTAATAGGGCAGAGGGAGGGTTCCAAAATAGCGCTTGCCAGTGCTCATGTTATTGCAATAGAACAACTCCCCTAGAATGGCTGTCTCCAATATCTCTATGCCCAAGGTGTTCCCAACTGCCTCTTGCCTTTCCAGGCGGTGTTACAAGACAAGCAGGAGTATCTGATCCAGGCTTCTGTCATACTACTGTATCTCCACTGGAATTCGGACTGTGTGGGATTTTGTGCACGTTCTTTAAAAGTGGAATCTCTGTTTCCTGCAGCTCTCTAGCTCTTCCGAACATGAGACCCATACATGTGTACTCAGTCATGTCCTACTCTTTGCGACCCTATGCACTGTCACTCACCAGGCTCCTCTGTCTACTGGATTTCCCAGGCAAGAATACTGGAATGGGTTGCCATTTCCTCCTCCAGGGGATCTTCCTGACCCAAGTATCAAACTCATGTCTCCTGTATCTCCTGCACTGGGCGGATTCTTTACCACTTAGCAACCTGGGAAGCAGCATGTACACCACTGGTTTTCAAAACCCATTGTTCTGTGGTCTCATCTACTTGGTTTGGGATATCCAGGCTGGAGAGCTTGACTTGCTCCTTGGAGAAGATCTCTATATTTGTGATTATCCTCCCATTTAGGGGCCACTGATCTGAGGGTGGGGATACTGACTATATTGCATCTCCATTCCTCCCAACCATCATAGTGTGGTTTCTTCATATCTTTATTTGTAGTGTATCTTTTCTGCCAATTTTCAATTTTTTCCCCATAAATAGCTGCTTCATAACTAGTTGTAATTTTGGTGTTGTCCCTGGAAAGAGGTGAGTTTAGGGTCTTTCTACTCTGCCATCTTGGTCACCAGCAGTGATAAGCTTTTATGTTGTATATGTCTCTTAATTATAATACCCATTTTTGCCTTCTAAAGCCCTTTGCTTCATCTCATTTTTTTCTCAGGTGAGGGTTCTTAATTTCTTCCTACCTGTACACTTTGTGATTCATCAGTGATTTAGGTACAGATTTTTATTTCTCTTACCTATTTTTAAAATTTAAAATATGAGCACCCAGTAAATTTCTCCCTTATTTATTTAATATTGATTGTTAGTAAATCTCAAGCTTTCTCTCTTTTAATTCTTTTACTTAAAAAATGGTAAGTATTGTATTTGTAATTATTAATGTTAATCATATTATGTTATAATATAATTTTATTATATTATAGTGACTGTTGCAGTCAAGATTAAAAGTGTTTTAAGTATGTTTTGTAATGCATATAAATGTAGAAACTTTTTTTGTATGAAATTGTCTTAGTTGGCAGCAGTTATAAATTATCACTTGCCATATGGCTTCTGATTAAATCAGAAAGGGCTGTTAACATTGGATAATTTAATTTTCTATAGTTTAATGTGAAACTCATTTTTAAGATGTGGAAATTAAAAGAATTGGCTACAAATAATGTCTAATAAACTTTCAAAAATAATGACTAATAAATTTTCAGTATAGATATTTTTTATTTCTAGAGAAAAACTGAAATCTGAAGCTAAAGACAGAAAAGTTTTAGAAATTCTGCAAGTCAAGGATGCTAAAATACAAGAATTGGAACAGGTTGGTGGTATAACAGAAAATACTAAATTTATGATATTTGTTTCATATAGTAGGTCTTTACAAACATTTTAAGTTTTTTTGCAGTAATGTTCACAAGACTATCAGGGTCATTATGTTGTCCTATTACTATAGTCAAGTTACTGCTTTAGCCTGTTTTACTTCTTTGTGTTTTTGGGTTATAGACTATGTTATTTATACTTTAAAACTCTTAAGATGGTGTTTTAATTTTATAGTAATAACTATCTGTCACTCACTTTTTGTTGAAATTGCTATTTTTAACAATTATCATTTGCTTCTGAATCCTACAAATTTTTTAATGTTTTAATTTGTACAAAAGGTTAACAATAACTGGGATGATTCTATTTGATGTTTTCAACTTTCACTTTCAAATTATGCAATCCTATAATTATAGTTAATACAATTATATGTAATGGTAAATATTAAAAATTAGAGATAATTATATCTTCAGTATATTATCACTACAAAAATCCACATCGGTCATTGATTCCCAAGAATCATTGTGGAGGTAGTAACATCTTCAAAATAAAGGTGAAATAAATTTATTTTAAGAATTGTCTATATCATGATATATTTAAATTCATTTTATACCCAATTGCCCATTATAGGCTAAATTATCTTTATTTTCTAGATTAAATGAAAATTCTTTCTGGTAACTCTGCTTTTCCAAGTTCTGACTCTATTTTCCTTCCTAGCCAATTAAACAGTCAGGATAATTTTCATCTAAGATTGGTTATTGTTATTAGGTTGTTTTATTAAAGGACTAAAAATGGAAGTTAATGTGGATAAAAATTAATTTTTAAATATTCTCTCTATATAAGTTTGTTGTAAAGTTGGATATACATTCCTATCTGACATATAAATTTGAAATTTATACCTTCTCCAGAATTGTATTTTCCTTATAGAAAAGGTAATAAGTGAGTGAGTGAAGTCATTTAGTCGTGTCTGACTCTTTGAGACCCAATGGACTGTAGCCTACCAACTCCTCCATCCATGGAATTTTCCAGGCAAGAGTACTGGAGTGGGTTGCCATTTCCTTCTCCAGGATAGAAAATATAATAATTATTGCTATAATGATAAAATTTTAAAACTTTTTAGTTTGTTTTGGGGAAAAATAGTTGTATTTGTGACTTAAATGTCAAATATCAAAATGAATTCTAATATAGAAAAATACTGCCATGTGCCTTGTATATTAATTAGTTGGGAAGATCCCCTGGGGGAGGGTGTGGCAACCCACGCTAGTTTTCTTGCCTGGTAAATCCCATGGCAGAACAGCCTGCCTGCAGTCCATGGGGTCACAAAAAGTCAAACGGACTCAGCGACTAAATAATAACAAGCTACCTAATCAGTTAAGTTCGGTTCAGTTGCTCAGTTGTGTCTGACTCTAAGCTGCCTAACAGATACAAAATTAAGACTTGGAAGTAGCAAACATCATTTATACTCACATTTCATTGAGAGAAACTACTCATATGGTTAACCCAAGATTCAGCGAATTTGGGAAAACTTATTTCCGGGCTGAGCAATCTCTTACTCACATACAGGTCTACTGTATGGAAGAGAATGGATTTTGGCATTCTTTTAGATAACCTCTGGCAATAAGTTTGCAGTGCTTTAGGAAATAGTTTATCAGATCTAGATGGTCAGTCAGTTCAGTTGCTCAGTCGTGTTGGACTCTTTGCAACCCCATGGACTGCAGCACGCAAGGTTTCCCTGTCCATCACCAACTCTCAAGAGTTTGCTCAAACATATCCATCGAGTTGGTGACGCCATCCAACCATGTCATGCTCTGTCGTCCCCTTCTCCTCCTGCCTTTGATCTTTCCCAGCGTAAGGGTCTTTTCCAATGAGTCAGCTCTTTGCATCAGGTGGCCAAAGGATTGGAATTTCATCTTGAGCATCAGTCCTTCCAATACATATTCAGGACTGATTTCCTTTAGGATGAACTGGTTGGATCACCTTGCAGTCCAAGGGACTCTCAAGAGTCTTCTCCAACTCCACAGTTCAAAACCATCAGTTCTTCAGTGCTCAGATTTGTTGCTAGTCCAATTCTCACATCCATGCATGACTACTGGAAAAACCATAGCTTTGACTAGATAGACCTCTATTGGCAAAGTAATGTCTATGCTTTTTAATATGCTGTCTCTGTTGGTCATAGCTTTTCTTCCAAGGAGCAAGAGTCTTTTAATTTCATGGCTGCAGTTATCATCTGCAGTAATTTTGGAGCCCCCCAAAATAAAGTCTGTCACTGTTCTCACTGTTTCCCCATCTATTTGCCATGAAGTGATGGGACAGGATGCCATGATCTTAGTTTTCTGAATGTTGAGATTTAAACCAACTTTCTCACTCTCCTCTTTCACTTTCATCAAGAGGCTCTTTAGTTCTTTGCTTTCTGCTATAAATGTGGTGTCATCTGCATATCTGAGGTTATTTGTATTTCTTCTGGAAATCTTTGATTCTAGCTTGTGCTTCATCCAGTCCAGCATGTCAGATATCTCAATTAAGAAATGCTTAGGTCATATTTTAAAATGTCTGTGTTCCCTCTCCTCCTGCAGAGAGCAGGAAGAGATTTTTCTCTGATCCTCACTGTGACAACCTAATAGTGTTCTATATGTAAAACTCATGAAAGTATAGGAACTCTTCTAAGACTGGGCCCTCCAGGACATTTTTTTTTTTCCTCCAGGACATTTTAAATTCTCATGCATGTCCACACTTATCCCCCGATGATTTGTTAATTGCAGATTTGGTTTTCCTACTCTTGGTACTAGAGTTTTCTTGTTTCAGGGATTTTGCTCTGCTCTATTGTGATTCTCCATATTGCCTGTCTCTCTAGTTTGGGGAACAGCAATTTGCCCTATGACCTCAGTTCTCTGATGATTCTGAGAAGAGTTGCTGATTTTCAGTTTGTTCAACTTTTTTCATGTAGTATGAATAGGAGAGACAACCTCCAAGTTACTGCATCCTGTGCTGGAAGCCAGAAGTTCCTTCATCATGTGTTTGTTGTTCCATCAAGTAATGTTAAATAGTTCTTACTTTTCCAAACTTGTAGTCTATGGAATCGAGTAACAAGAATGCTGAGTCCTTAACCACATATCTAGTCAAACTACTAGAAAGTTACACACACAATTTTTTAGCTCGTTGCTGAAAAACTTTCATAGAACAATCTAATACTATTACATGCTTTATTGATAATAGTGTAAAAAAATGCCGTGTAACTTCTTTTGGTAAGACTGTGCTTTAGCTTTGTCACTGCTAGTTATAAAGTAAATCTTGTAATAAATTTTCCTTCAAGTATTGTATTAGGTAACTCAAGTCTACTAATAACTTGCTATATTTAATGAGATTATTTTTAAACATTGAATTTCCCTTTTTTCTTACCTTCTAGGAAGCTCAGTAATAAGTTTTGGTTCTCAATTACATTTAATTCTCTCACCCCTTCCCTTTTATCCATTTACCTTTGTTTTAGTTGTACTGATACCATTACTTCTCTGTTTTTCATTAAACTCTTTTTATGCATTTTAAAGTAGGTCATGTAAATAATATATTAACTATGCTCAAGTATTGTTTTATAGAGTTTTAGGTCTTTTGAACTGCTGCCATCACACCCCACTTTTTTCCTAATTCATACCCACTATCATTCTCTTCTTACTCTACAGACTTCTTTTGACCATGATTTGAATTATTCATTTCATGGCTTATCCATAATAAATAATTTGTTCCAGCCATACTTTCTCTGTCACCCTTTATGCTTTATGGTTCCTCTGAGTTCAATTTGCTATTTTAATATTAACTCAAGCCAGACCATTAAGAATGTATTTTACTCTATCCAGAAAAGTTTGTTGAAAAGGTTTCATGAAGCTAAATTTAGGACTTGCAGGGTTATTAATGTTTAGTGAAAGAAGTCAGAGAAAGATAAATACTGTACAGTGTCACTTATATGTGGAATCTGAACAATAAAACAAACTAGTGAATATAACAAAAAGGAGGCAGACTCACAAATATGGAGAACAAACTAGTAGTTACCAGTGGGGAGAGCAAAGCAGGAAGGGACAAGATGGGAGAAGGGGATTAAGAGGTACAAGCTACTATGTATAAAGTAAATAAGCTATAAGGATATATTATATAGCAGAGGGAATATAGCATTTCAAATAACTATAAATGGAATATAACCCTTAAAATTGTGAAATCATGTTATATATCTAAAACTGCTAGAATTTATTATAAATCAACTATACTTCTCTAAAAAGGAAAAGAAAAAAAATGAATTGTAACTATATATACTTGTGCTAAGGCTTCCCTGGTAGTTCAGTTGGAAAAGAATCTGCCTACAATGCAGGAGATCTCGATTTGATTCCTGGTTTGTGAAGATCCACTAAAGAAGGGATAGGCTACCTAATCCAGTATTCTTGGGCTTCCCTGGTGGCTTAGGTGGTAAAGAATTTGCATGCAATGTGGAAGACCTGGGTTTGATCCCTGTGTTGGGAGTATCCCCTGGAGAAGCGAATGGCTATCCACGCCTGTATTCTGGCATGGAGAATTCCATGGAGTGCATAGTCTATGGGGTTGCAAGAGTCCGACACGACTAAGTGACTGTCACTTCCATTATAAAAACTAGATCATTGAGGGTACATTTTATTAAGAAAATATTTTGAGTTATGTAAAATTTAACAGATCTTTGAGAGTTTATCAGTTCTCTTCCTTTGGGAATACATCTGTGTCTAACTTATTACTTTAATGATTTATGATATATAAGATCATTTATCAAACTAATTATCAAAATATGAACCTGGGTCTCCTGGCCCAGGCAGGTTCTTTACCAGGTGAGCCACCAGAGAAGCCCTAAAAGCATTATGGTTTTGGTTAACTAAGTTCCTGCTGTATGATATGTTTTTATTTAAAGATTAAGTCTATATTTGTCCTGTAGATTACTAAATTCACTCAAATGCTAACTTTTCAATTACTAAATAATTTTCATGAAAGGACTTGTTATTGCTGTCATTTATGTTGTTTATTCAGAGAAGGCAATGGCACCCTACTCCAGTATTCTTGACTGGAGAATCCCATGGACGGAGGAGCCTGGTAAACTGCAGTCCATGGGGTCTCGAAGAGTCGGACACGACTGAGCGACTTCACTTTCCCTTTTCACTTTCATGCATTGGAGAAGGAAATGGCAACCCACTCCAGTATTCTTGACTGGAGAATCCCAGAGACAGAGGAGCCTGGTGGGCTGCTGTCTTTGGGGTCGCACAGAGTCAGACACGGCTGAAGCGACTTAGCCGCAGCAGCCGCATGTTGTTTATTCCTGTTAAGTTTAGCTCTCATTAACGGGCAAATGCTTCTAAACGTTAAATTATTTGGTCTAGTATCTCACCTTTCTAAAGTCTAAATAATCTCAAGGATAGATGAGGGTGCTTAATTTTTGTTAATTCTCCTTTCAAAGGATAGGCCTGTAGATATTTCATTGTCTTAGTGTTCTTACGATTGAATTTATCAGTGTCAATCTCATTCATAAACATTTACTATAATTTAGTTTGGGAGATAGTGTGAGTACATCGATAATTAGCAGCTCTAGGTAATATGTGCCAAATGAATAATGTAGGCAATACAGAAACTTGGAAATAGAAATTTCTGTGATGGTTAGGAAAGACTTCATGGAGGAGGTAAAAACTGAACCTTGAAAGAGGCTGAGACTTAGATGAGAATAGAAAAATAGGTTATGAATTGTAGATGTTTATGCATCTATTTTTATGCTGTTTGATTGATGTCAAACATATTTTTATATGCCCTAGTAATTAAAATAAGCATTAAAAATTAAAACTATATTGAGGTACCATTTATACTTAATTTGTAAAGCATTACCAAGCCTGAGTGTTTTATTGGTACAGATATGGAGTTATGAGAACTCTTGAAGTTCAGTTGGCCTATGAACGAGTAATGTCACCTCTAAGTATAAATCAAGAGCAATATTTCATTAATATGATCCCTACACTGAGAAAAATACATTTTACTTCATAACCCAGTATACACACAGATAAAATAGAAGTGTCATAATCACACTACTATATATAAAATTGACTACCTAATAAGGACTTATAGTATAGCATAGGGAACTCAATACTCTGTAATGACCTATATTGGAAAAGAATCTAAATAGCAGTGTGTATATATATATATATATATATATATATAGTTGTTCTTTCTATATAAAATAAAGATGAAATATAACAAAGCACATATCAAATATGAATTTGATAATATTTAAATAAAATGGAAATCCTAAATTAAATATTGCAAGAAAACATAGGAATAATAGTTTCAAATATTAGTTGGAAAAATAAGTGGGTTGACAAAAGTTGAGTAAGTTTGGCAAAGAGTCAGTATTATGGCATGGATATCAGTTTTAGCATGTTGGTTTGAGATGGCAGCAGATAGTTAAAATGGAGGTATTTTTATAGAAAACTGGAAATCTGAGATTGGTAATTGGAAGAGAGTTAGGGCCAGATTATGGATCAGGTAGTCTTTTAGACAGAGACGAGACTAGAAGCCAGGAGAGTGGGTAAGTTTTCTGAGGGCAAAGCTATAAAGATTTGAAAAGAGGGAAACTAAGACATGAGTCATGGATACATCCTTCAGGTAGATTTAGGTATTTCTGGTAGGTGAGAAGAATATTTGGTTAACAATTATGGCAGTTTTAATATTTTGAATATCTTTCTACACAGCAAGATATTTTGGGTACGAAAACAGACTTGCCGTTTTTCATTCTTTAAAATTGCTCATGCTTTCACAAAACTGTTTTTCTAAAAAAATGTTTTAGATAGAATGTAATTCTTATTTTAGCTATATAAGCATTTTCTTTAATTAGAATATTTTGTAAAATTTTGGTTTTTTTTTCCATGTTGCACAACTAAATCCAGAAAGTTTGCTTTCTGTATGAGACTGAATATTTGGTGTCCAGTTTTTATGTGTACTTCATTTTAAACTAGTAACTTGGCACATGTATGCACGTTTTACTTGACAACTGCTGGGCATGTCATAGGAAATGAGAAATTATGATAATGGATGTTGTTATGAAAGCTAGTTAATTCTAATATAACCAGAGTCTCAAACTTTTCATATGAAATTATTTTTTCTTAGAAATGCCAATTCATCAGTAATTTTGCTTTTTTTCCAGAGAGAATCAGGACTAACCCAGGAAATAAATGACCTTGTAAAACGGAAGATGGCAGTAGATGAAGAAAATGCTTTCTTAAGGAAAGAATTCAGTGACTTGCAAAAGAAATTTAAAGATAAAAGTCAAGAAGTTAAGGTGTGTTGACTTGTACATAGTTTTATGCTACTGTTTCTTTGAAGTCCTACTTTAAGCTTTGTCAGCCTTTGTGGCACAGAAAGTGACAAGCTGGGAGGAAAAATTGCCTTAGGCCCTGCTGTACCATACAGTTTTCTCACATGCAAAAACTCTGAGAAAGATACTTTAAAGCTCAGACTCTAAGCTTTATAACTTTCAGATAAATAGTTAATGATGGAAATGGAGCTAAGAAAGTAGGAGTGTGAATATGTGGCTTCTTGTAATTAGATTCTGATGGGACTGGCATTATTAATTGATAAAACCCAGGTCTGGGAGGCTATGTCTGTGTGGGTCTCAAAAATAGCTGGGGACAGCATCAAAGGCAGCTTGATCAATTAATGGGCTCTTTGCAAATGTGTACTCATCAAAGCTGTCATCCAGTGAAAAAATATGACCCATCCACCTGCATGAAAAGAGGCCAATAAAAGTATACAGGTGACCTTGCCCATCAAATATAAAAGAAGCTGCTGGGAGGATAAAATTGCACAGTTTGTATTTGCTGATTAGTTCTCAGCTTTTCTGTTGTTGTTTTGTGTGTTGGCCCTTGTGGTACTGTTCTACAGGACACTAAGGAGTGTGTGCAGAATAAGGAAGAGCAAAGCAGGCTGGTTATAAAAACTCTGAAGGAGGAAAATGAGAAATTAAGTACCCACTGCGCTGACCTGCTAAATGACCTGGAGAAACTGAGGAAGCAGGAAGCACATTGGAGAAAAGAAAAATTTAGCATTGATGCAAAAGTAAAGGTATGGAATGAGAATGGAATTCGTGCTGTTATTTTGAATCTAACTTCTTAGGAAGCTTATTACATGTTGTTTTCTTTAAATAGCAAGTTATATATTCAAATCCACCAGTGGGGACTAGCATTAATTTATATTCCTTCACTTAAGACCCATAGCTTTTTAAAAATTGATGTTGCAAAGCAGGAAACTGACTTCAAATACTTATCTAAAATGTAATCATTAAAAAATAAAGGCTATTAGATTTTGAAATAAAACATGTTTTGAAAAAACACATTTAGAATTATGAATTTTGACTTTTTGTAATTAGGGCTTAAATTTATAGATATAACTAGAATTCATTGCAGTATAGTTTTAAGATTGTATTTTTCAAGTCCTTTAAAAATACATAAAAAAACAAAGCAGTTAAAAATGCATGTGTTTTATATGTATTTCTTTGGCTTGAGAGGACCTTATTCATAGTAAAATATAGAAGATAAAAGTTACAATCAGTCTTCATAATCTTATGTCTTTTCTGATAAATACTTTTCAAAATAGTTTTTTGTGGCTTTCTCTTGGTTTTGAGAATGTTTTTGTTCATTTTTCCCCATTGAATTTCAGTTTTCTTCTTAACCATAGATTTTGTTGAAAAGGCTCACCCCTAAAATTTTGGTCCTAGTAAATATGATAGCCCCTCTATGTGTATACATGCTTAAGAAGAATTTATAATATACATGTATGTATGTATATATGTATATATATAGCAATTTAAATATAATAAATATGGATATGTTTGTCCAAAGATTTGTGTGAGTGTATGCCGGTGTGCCTGATTATTTAAGTTAGAGAAGAAAAGATAAGTCTTTCTGAGTGTGTGAATCTATTCATTGCAAATTATTTTAAGGAAATACATACATTAAATCTATTAGTGTACAATCAGGGAATGAGATAAGTCTTTCTGAGTGTGTGAATCTATTCATTGCAAATTATTTTAAGGAAATACATACATTAAATCTGTTAGTGTACAATCAGGGAATGATTGAGTTTTGAGAGAATTGAATTCAGGCAATTCAATTAGCAATGTTAGCAATGTTGCTGAATTATCTTGAACTTATTTTTGTATCAGTTTCTGCTTCCCTGCAACTTTTAAGCTGTTTGTTTGTGTGATAAGAGTTCACGGCACTTCCTTGTGTTAATTCATAGCTACATGAGTTTTTGATGATGATTTTCATTTCCTTTTTTTGCCATTCAGATAGTCTACTGTGATTTTTAGTCTTTTTTTCTATTAGAGTGTTTGCATTTTCTTATTCATTTGTAAGCATTCTTTATTCTAGATAGCAGTGCTTTGTTTTACATATGTATTGCAAATACCTTCTGTCTCATGAATCTTCAATAATGTAAATTAGACATTCAAAATATATAAATTTCTATAGTCATTTTTGTTAAAATATTTTCGTTTCTAATGTTTTTGTTCTAGAAGTCTTATAGTATCAAGTTTTCCATACCCTGAAGTCTTTAATCTATTTAGAATTCATATTGGAATATGGTGTTCCACACCATATATTCAGTATTGATTTGTGATGCAGTTTCTCTCACATCTTTAAGTTGCCATGTGTATTTGGACTTATTTCTGGACTTTCTATTATTTTCATGGGTTCAATCAAGTATTGTAGTTTCATAATTTTACTCATTATTTGCTAGAGTGACCTACTTATTTATTCCCCTTTTTGTAAGTCATGAACCCTACATGTACCTCTCCTCTAGTAATATTTAAGGATCATTTCATTAGTTTTACTGAAAAATCCTATTAGAAGGCATATTGGAACATTATCTAATTTATGAATTAATTTGGGAAGAATTGTGATCTACTATTTAAGAATTTGGAATAAGGTTTTTTAATTTTCTTAAAATGGTTGTTTACTTTTATTATGTTTATTACTAGCTATTCATATTATTGTGAAAATATTGTTTTATGCTAAAAAACTTAAATTATATTTTAATTAATTATTTACAGACATTAGCAGTGTTACTAAATTATCTTGAACTTCTTTTCAACAATTTTTCCCAAATATCTTATTAATTCTAAAAATGTGTATATTTTCTATTATACAATTACATTGTCAGTAAGAAAGCTGCCTCTTTTTTTTCTTTTGGCATATAATTCTCATACCATATATTTAACCCATTTAAAGTGTACAGGCCAATAATTTTTAGTTTATGTAGAGTTTTGCAACTATTACCAAAATTACTTTTAGAACATTTTCATCAATTCCAAAAGAAGCCCCATAACTTTTAATAATCATTCCTCATTTATCTTTAGCTTTGCAGCCCAAGATCACCACCCATGGGTGGTGTATAGATTTTCTTTCTTGCTGTATAGATTTATGTGTTCTAACCATTTCATATTAATGAAATGAATTTTAATGAATTATAAGATCTTTTGTGACTGACTACCTCCACTTAGAATAATGTTTTCAAAGGGTTTGTCCACGTTGTAGTATATATCAGTACTTTATTATTTTTATAGTTGAATAATATTCTATTATGTAGATAATCTGTATTTTATTTTCCTCAAGTAGATGGACATTTGTGTTATAAATATTTGTGTTCAAGATTTTGTATATACATATATTTTTATTTCTCATAGGTGTATACCAAGGAGTGAGATTACAAGGCAATGTGATAATTTTGTTTTTAAGCTTCTGAGGAACTGTCAGACTGTTTTCAAAAGCAGCTATATTATTTTACATTCTGAACTGCACTGTCTGAGGGTTCTGATTTCTCTTGGTCCTTGTCAACACTTATTATTGTCTTTTTGATTTTTAGCCATCTTTGTGGATGTGAGTGACCTCATTGTTGTTTTTATTTTCATTTCCCTGAAGGTAAATAATTTTGGTCATCTTTTTATATGTTATTGGTCATTTGCATATCTTTAAGAAATGTGTAATTTCTTTTGTGCATATTCTACATACAAGTCTTTTTTTATTTACATAATTTCAAACTTTTTTTTTTTAAGTTCTCTGAGTTGTTTCTTACATCCTTAATGGTATTATTTGAACAGAAAGTGTAAAACTTTTATATTTAATTTATCTACTTTTTCTTTTGTTGTCCATGCTTTTGGGCGTTCTCAGATGTATATCAGATGTGCATCTGAGAAACCATTGCTTAATCCAAGATCGTGAAAATGATCCTTATGTTTTCTTCTAAGATTTTTATTTCTTACATTTTGTTCTTTAATCCATTTTGAGTTAATTTTTAAATATGATGTTTGATAGGAATCCACTTCCATTCTTTTGCATGTGTTATTCCATTGTCACAGCTCCATTTGATAAAAAAAAAAAAAGACTGTTCTTCCCACTGAATTTATCCTAGCATATTTATTGAAAATCAATTGACTGTAAATATAAAGGTTGACTTCTGGACCTCAATTCTGTTCCTTTGATCTATAATTTATCCTTATGCCTATATCACACTATATTGATTATTGTAGATTTGTAATAAATTTTGCAATTAGGACTTGTGTGTCCTCAATATTTAGTCTTCTTTTTTCAAGGTTAGCTTTTCTCTATCATTTACATTTCTATATGAGTTTTAGAATCAGCTTTTCCATTTCTTCTGGAAAAAAAAGCAAGCTGATGTGATTTTGATAGAGATTCTGTTGAATCAGATCAATATGGTGAGTATTACCATCTTAACAGTATTGTAACTCCAATTCATCAATAGGAGATGTTTCATTTATATAGAAACTTCTTTAATTTCTTTCAGTAATGTGTTACAGTTTTCAGATTATAACTTTGCACTTCTTTGAGTGCATACATTTTAAATATTTAATTATTTTTTTCTGTTATTCTAAATGGAATTGTTTCTTAATTTCCTTTTTGTATGGTTCACTCCTAATGTATGCATTCAATTAATTTTTGTATATTAGTCTTATATCTTGCAAACTACCTAAAGAAGATTGTTTCTGTAGGATTTTCTGTGTGTAAGATCATGTCATCTGTAAGTAGAAATTGTCTTCTTCCTTTCTAATTTGTATGTCTTTTATCTCCTTTTATTGCCTGTCACCCTAGCTAGAATCTCTAGTATGAAGTTAAATAGAAAAAAAGAGAGAGTGGAAATCTGTATCTTCTTCCTGATCCCAGGAGGAAAGGATTTGCTCTTTCATCCTTAGGCATGGTATTAGCAATGAGCTTTTTGTTGATATACTTTATCAGTTAAGAAAATTCCCTTCTTTTCCTAGTGTATTGAATTTTTATTTTTAATCATGAAATGGTGTTGGGTTTTGGCAAATAAATGCTTTTTATGTATCTGTTGAAATGGTTATGTGGTATTTGTCTTTCATTTTATTGGTGTTGCATATTGCCTTGTTTTTTGGATGTTAGACCAACCTTATGCTGCTGGGGTATCTTTATTTTCATCTGACGTTAGTGTAATAAGTGTAATATTTTTATCTGACTTTAAAGTGATAATGATAGCTTTAAAGAATGAGTTCAGAAGTGTTCCCTCCCTTACATTTTTTGGAATAATTTGAACAGAATTAGTATGAAATCTTTTAAAAGGTTTGGTAGAATTCACCAGTGAAACCATCTGATCTGGGAATTTTCTGTGTTGGGACATTTTAATAGCTGATTAAATTCATTTATCATGGGTTGAGATTTTCTATTTATTCTTGATTCAGTTTAGGTATTTTGTATATTTCAGAATTTGTACTTTTCATCTTGGTTATCTAATTTGTTGGACAATTGTTTATAGTATTCTCCAGTCATCTTTTAAATTTCTGTATGGTTAGTAGTACTGTCTTTACAAGTCTGTTGCTGTCTTCAAAAGAGTCAGCTTTAGAGTTAGTTGAATATATTGTTTAGTTATGCCCTTAAAAGTATTTCAACAATAATCTTGATTATTTCATTCCTTCCTTCTCCTTTTGGATCACTCGGCTATACTTTTCTGTATCCCTAAGCTATAAAATTGCATTGTTGGTTTTAGATGTGTCACCATTTTTAGTATAGGCATTTACAGCTTTAAGTTTC